TATATTATCGTTTTTTATTAATGATTTAATCGAAGCACGTGCCACCATAACCGTCTCTCATAATATCCGCTTGCCCTCCGGTCCAAGGCTTTGGAGATAACAGCCCATCCCTCATTCCGTCATGATAACTCATGTCCCCTTGGCCGTGCCAAAATACCAGGAAAAACAAATTTACTTGACTTACTTGAATGACCGATGGCACCATCTTGAAATTCCACTTCGAAATTTATCAAAAGAAATTTATCAAAAGAAATTTGTCGGGGAGGAATTCAATATCGAAGAAATTTTCCCAGAAAATACATCGATTTATCAATAAATTGGCAATTGATCGAATTAACCCGCAAACGGTATATTTTTCCGGGTCAATTTGATAAACAATTTATTCTGATAAAACCTCTGAAAAAACCGTGAATTTTGGCTGAAAGAATTAAAATTAATTTTCATTTTTTAATATTTAATTAAAATTAAATAAAAACATGTGCATATTACCCCGCATTCTCTCAAATATTGTCGGAGTTAGAGTGGATTCAACCCACTACTATTCAATAATTAACAAAATGAGTCATGTCATCTCAAGCAATTTCATAACGTCTTCTCGCCCTGAGAGTAATAATACATCAGTATTTCCATATTTCGATCATAATTATATGCGACTCCATACGACAACCGAAGAGCTTAAATGGGTCGAACGATAACGAAGTTCATTTACATGTGTCTCACTGAAAGACTGGGCTTGTGTTCTCATTCCTCTATCTCTTTCTCGTTAATTCTCCTCGAGTATTTTCTCAGTTCTTCTCCTCTCATGCGGACCATTTTTATCGGACGTTTAAATGACTTTTTGTTCCTGGTAACTGTGAAATTAATAAGCACGAATGTATTTGATGGTAAAAAGTGTTTAAACACTCGGATTTGTGCGGATGAAAACGTTGAAATTATATTCTTCAATGAAAGCAACGACTCGAGCGAGAAATAATTCTTCAGGATTTATTCAGCATTCCGGTCAATTAGTTCGGGGATGAAAAATTCAACTGCAAACTGAATTCAATTCGATTAAAAATTAAATTTACATAAATTCCTTAAAGTTTTTGAAAAATCCGAGGAAATGACTTGCACCTATTAATTACCCCTTTCTATAATTTATCAATGATTGTCGCAATCAATCATTCAGATCAGACTACCCGTATCCAAGGTGCATAAAAAAAATCTCCAGCAATCGCATCGAACTGTGCAAGACAAGGATTATTCATCCTGCATGACACATATCTCGTCCCTGACATACCATTGGCCCCGCTTTCACCAATCCATAAAAGGCAATGTCCCTCATAATCGCTCTTTTTTATTTCAAAACCAAAAGCAATGAGTAATTGATCGAGCACAAAATTCGCCACCAAAAATCTCCCGGAGCATCTGATCAAATTGAATCCAGAGAACTGGTTCCCCAAATTACCCAGGATAAAGAGAGACCGAAAGTATGATGCATGTGAAACTGACACGAGAAATGTCACTTCACCTCTCAGATGAAAGATAACGAAAAGAGAGTATCGAGTTATGGTGACACTTTTTTTTTTATCCACAATTGAAGTGAGGCTGACACGTGGTACAAAGTACCCTGAGTTGAACGAATTGTCGGAGCACAGACGTCCATCATCTGAAGAATCGCGGAGTGGTGGAAAAATGAATGAAAGGAAAAGAAAAATCTGGAGGAAAAATACTTCGAAAAAATCCAACACTTATTGTTAAATCTCGCGTTAAGTTTTCACCTAGGCAAGATGGGGCGAGATGGGGCGTTTTTAAACTGTTGAGAAAACTTGATTCCAGGAAAAGTTGTAGCAAGCTTGTTTACGATCAGATGCGGGAAATGGGGAAATGAGGAATGTTGGCCATGTGCCGACAACTCGAGATGCGAAAAAACTGTAATAATCACGAGGAAATGGTTTGCTGTAATGTGTTTTGGGTTGTTGACCAGTGGTCAAACTGTTTCACAGATACATCATGTAAACATTTTTATTTCAGGCGTCTGGTGATTTTTCTTGGCAACTGGCGATCTGGTTCTCTTCCCGTTTTCATTCAGAACATGATAAATTGGGCGTGTTTAACTGAAATATATAAAAACACTTACAGGCCGTTTATTTGGGTTATCAAAACCTCAAACAGTTCAAAAGATCCGAGAAAACGTTAACTTTCTCTCCAGAAAAATCTCCCCAACATTTTTCATAGATGTATTATTCTATTAAAAAATCCAAACGAATTATTTATATAAAATATTAAACAGAAATATAGACTAATATAAATCGAATTCCAGTTTTAATAAATCACCGGAAATTAGAGTAAATTTTTATTTCCAGATACAACAAGTCTTCTAAAAAAGGATCTGTTAATTATTCTGAATGTTGAAGGACAAGAAGTGGAAAATACTCTTAAATTTCCTCTCTGTAAATCTTTATTGACCTTTTCCTCGATTTATTTCAGGGAGACAAGGGAATGAAGGGATTCTTCGGCGACCCTGGTCTACCGGTAAGCAAAAAAAAGATGG